TCTCAAGGAGGCAAAGTGGGAAATTGAACCCCCAGCCTCTGGCTCCACAGCCAAACGCCTAAATGACAGAGCTATAATTCTAGCTTCCACAGATTGCAGACTTTGAATCCACTCACCACCAATGTGCAGCCTCCAAAGGCGTATCCCTAAAAGTCTGTATCCACTGAAAGGAAGAAAAAAGTATTATGTACATCACAGACCTAAGTTGCTTCATCTATCAATTCCATCCAAGAAATGCTGGGAGGTGGGAGCTATTTAACTGCCCAAGGAGTCACCTCAGATCCTCTCTCTCAAAGTTTTCAACACCTTTAAAACAAAATAGGCATTCAAGGAATCTTAGAGGGGACATCACAAAACGTTAACTGGCGTAAAACTGAGCTGACTTTGCATGATGGACAACCCTTGAGAATGGCTGGATAGCTCAGTGGTTTAGATCTCTGGCTGCAGAGTTCAATTCCCCATTATGCCTCCTTGACAAGGGCTGGACTCGAAGATCCATAGGGACCCTTTCTACTCTGCAGTTCTAAGATGATTGTAGATGATGATGATTAAATTTGTCAGCACAATATAGCTCTTACAGGCATCCTATCAGACTCCAAACTGTCCAATCACATAAGGCTCCCCTCCTTTCATCATCCTAGTGGCCAGTGGCAGCTCAGGGGATTGACAAAGCGAACAGATCTGTTGTTGTTGTTGATAATGATGATGATAAGGTTTATATACCGCCCATCTGGCAGCCAAGGTCATTCTGGGCGGTTTACAGCAAGTAACATAAAACAACAAAGTAAAAAAATAGCAAATAACATAGGGGTGAAAATCAAAAGTCATAAAGTGCAGTGAGGATAAAATTACAATACAATACATACAACTAAAAGCATAGAAAAATATAAAACATGGAGCATGGCAGTATGAATTTATCACCTTTTAGAGGGTCACCGTAAGTCAGAAGTGATTTAACAGCTCATAACAATAGCAACCACCTGTCATCCCTTGTTAAATTTGCCCAGCTTCTGAGGGAATGAGACTTTGGCACTACAGTACTGAGGCAATGAGACAGGGTGGGAAATTCAAATACTGTATGAGCACTACGGTGGTAATGGCAACAGGATTCCCAATAATTTCCCACACGCATGCGCATAACCTCCTTTAAAAACGTGGATGCCAGGAAGAGAAAAACCACTCGTTCTGTCTTGCTTAGGTCTTTGATTCTTCTGGTGCTGAAGTTTTAGCCACCGCCATTCCCAATTCCAAAGTGCATATCTTGGAACGATGTGGACACTTCATCGCACTTGAGAGGCCTCGGAAGTCTGCAAAGCTCCTCTTGGAATTCTATCGTTCCATTTGTGGCGCAGCAGAAGATAAGAAGGAGGCGTAAACCTGACAAAGAAGGAGTCCTTGCTTTTCCAGTTTGATGTTTTTAAAGTGTTAAAATGAACATGTTTCTTTCTGTACACAGCAATATAAAATTACATTTTGCCAGTGAAAGGCCTACAGGCACAAGATTAAGCAAGCATTAATATACTGACAAACAAATGGGTGTTTTCAAACTATGAGAACTATCGTAATTTTGGAATACGGTTAACTGGACAATCTAATGTGTTTGCCCATATGCAGGCCATATGGTAATTCTAATTCTTGTCTTAGACATCAAGAAACATGCCTTGAGTAAAAATTAAAGATGAAAAGTAAAGATTAATTATTATCAGTAGTAACAGTTTGGCGAAACTGTCCAGGAAAGGGACAAACAGATGAACTGACAGACTGTGAGGTATAGTCCCTCAATATGGGAAAGATATAAAACTGGGCTGTTGAGGGCATATTTTGTAGTTTTTAGATGTGAAAACTTGTCACCATATCTTGCTAAAATATTCCAATGTGGTATGTTGTCTTCCCTTCTACCTTAGGATATTAAGAACCATTAAATCAAAAATTGCATTTTGTACCAAATTTGTTGTTTTTGTTGTTTAGTCATTACGTTGTGTCCAACTCTTCGTGACCCCATGGACCACAGCACGCCAGGCCCTCCTGTTTTCCACTGCCTCCCGGAGTTAGGTCAAATTCATGTTGGTAGCTTCGATGACACTGTCCAACTATCTCATCCTCTGTTGTCCCCTTCTCCTCTTGGCTTCACTCTTTCCCAACATCAGGGTCTTTTCCAGGGAGTCTTCTCTACTCATGAGACAGCCAAAGTATTGGAGCCTTAGCTTTAGGATCTGTCCTTCCAGTGAGCACTCAGGGTTGATTTCCTCAGGCCATCTCATGAGACGCGTCCTTGGAAAAGACCTTGATGTTAGGAAAGTTTGAAGGCAAGAGAAGGGGACGACAGAGGATGAGATGGTTGGACAGTGTCATCGAAGCAACCAATATGAATTTGACACAACTCTGGGAGGCAGTGGAAGATAGGAGGGCCTGGCGTGCTCTGGTCCATGGGGTCACGAAGAGTCGGACACGACTGAACGACTAAATGAACGAGGATGTAGTTCATAGCAAGGATATAGAGAAGAGGGGCTATGCCTTACCTACCTTCTAAGCTATTTTTAGAGTTTGTTATTTTATTTTTATAGCTGGAATTTGCTATAGTTCTAACTGATTTGGTTTGTAGAAATGTACTTGAATGCTATGCTTTGCAACAAACTGAATATCTCTAAATACTTTATTTTTCTAATAAAACAGTAATTCTTAAAAACGCATGTTTGCTCTTTTGAGCAGCAAACCTGCATAATAAATTTGGGCCACAATTAAGCTACTGAGTCCATTTAATTGCCAGAGTTTTGTTAGTCTTGGCAGACTCCAAAACTCATGATTCTTATTTTTCTTTTTCTCTCAGTTAATTAATAATTGGGAACAGACTTGGGAAAAGGTGCCAGTATGACGGCCTGGCTGAGATAAGGACTCGTCTCAGCTGATTTGGGAGTACATTGGGCCCTTGGAACCTCTCTGTTCCAGCCACAGAATTCTCTTAGGAGGCTGTGTGCTTACACTTGCCATAATTTGCTGTGATCGACACAGTTAAAGGCTTTTCTGTAGTCAATGAAGCAGAAGTAGATGTTTTTCTGGAACTCTGGATTTCTCCATAATCCAGCGCGTCATGGATAATATGTGGATTAAATCATGTAATAAAGATGGAATATGTAGTTGTGAGCAATGTAAAATGGATTCCATATTGGTTCTATATAAGAATGATTTTGTATTATGGGAATGTTATTCCAGAGGGCTGTGGGAATGTCTTTCCTTTAGGCCAGTACAAGCCAATACAAGATAAGAAGACCAGACACTTGTTATGGCAGAGAAGACAATAGACGGGAGAAAAACAACGCGTGTTTCTCGTGAGAAGAGAAGGAGGCGATTGCTTCTATCACTTCACACCGTGATTGGATAACAGCATGGGAGACAAAGAAGACAGGAGGAGCCAAGAAGATAGAAAAAGGAACTTTTGACATGCGCTCCATCTTCTTCCTATTTTTCCTTTTGGATGGAACCATAGATTTTTCTAGGTCTTTTTGCCTGGTGCCCCATGCAGGGAAAAGACTGGGGAAGATACAGGGAATTAAGGAAGAAGAGAAGGGTGTCTTTAAGCCTTTTGCCTACCCTAAGGAAGCTTTTAGAGATTTTTTTTTAGCTATTGTAACTAAAAGGGAATTATTTGTCTTAAATTGTAATTTGTAACAAGCCTTGAAAACGCTTATTTGCTATGCTTTTACATCAAACTGACTTTATTCTGTAAATCTATTTTTTTTCAATAAAAAGATAAATTATAACATCTTTTGGTCTCTTGAACAGTGAAGCTGTCTTAACTATACCCTGAGGGGGAAGCAAGGCCACATGAAGCTACTGAGTTATACTTCATTAAGCCAGGTAGATCTTATGACTATGAAGCTTATGTGTAACATCCTGCTGAGCTTTAAGGGTCAGCAAGTAACTTTTTAGGGCAGACTTATAAGGAGTTTGTTGTACGCCTGGCTGAGGTCACCAGGACTCAACCCAGCTGCATAGGCACTCAGACTTCCAATTGCTCTCTGTCCAACAGACCAAATTCTCCCTCACAGGAAGCTGGGTCGTGACACAGCGCATGTTAGCAATTTGGTCTCGGGTTCCTCTGCCCCTTCGAAATCCAGCTTTTACTTCTGGGAGTTCTCGGTCCACATACTGCTGAAGCCTATCTTGGAGGATTTTGAGCATAACCTTGCTAGCGTGTGAAATGAGTGCAATTGTACAGTAGCTGGAGCATTCTTTGGCACTGCCCTTCTTTGGGATTGGGATGTAGACTGATCTTTT